GCGTCGCGCGGAATCGTTGAAGATTATGCATGAGACGAACAATAAGAAGGCCAAGATTGATGAACTCTTAGACTTTATCAACGAGCGGCTCGCTGAACTTGAGGAGGAGAAGGATGAGCTTCGCAATTTCCAAGAAAAGGATAAAGAACGCCGGTGCTTGGAATACACCATCTACTCTCGTGAGCAGCAGGAAATTTCTGGCATCCTTGACAATCTGGAGGACCAAAGACAGACCGGCGTGGAGGACACAGATCTTAACCGAGACAGGTTCATCGAAGGAGAGAAGGGGATGGCGCAAATAGATGCAGAAATTGCCGAGTGCAAGCAGCAAATTGAATTTCTGAAAGTGGATAAGACCCAGCTGGAAGACGAGCGCCGCGAGGCCTCGAAGGCCCTTGCACAAGTGGAATTGCGCGCCAAATCACTTTCCGAGAACCAGGCTACCGCACAAGTGCTCAAAGCACGCCATGACGAAGATCTCAAGACCGTCGAAACTGCGATCAAGGAGCGCGAGGCTGAACTTGAGGAACTTATTCCTCGCTTCAACGCGGTCAAAGACCAAGAAGACAACATTAAGGCGCAACTCAATGAAGCCGAGACAACCCGCCAACGTCTGTATGCCAAGCAGGGCCGCAACTCGCGCTTCAGGAACAAGTCGGAGCGCGATAAATGGCTACAGGCTGAGATCAAGGAAAATCACACCTCTATTTCCACAGTGCAGACCGTAATGGCGCAGACACAGGAGGACATCAAAGAGCTTGAGAACGACATTGCACTCCTGGAACCGGAAACGGAACGCTTGCGGCAACAAATTGATGGCAGAGGAGACACCGTCCATTCCGTAGAACAACAGGTTCAAGCTGCAAAGGACGAACGGGATAGGTTGATGGACCAGAGGAAGTAAGTTCACATTCTATTTTCCCCGTTTCTTCTACCTTAATTCCGTTTGGACCTGAATGAACGAGCTCAATGTCGCTAACTACTTTCAAGAGAACTCTGGCGAGAAGAAGCGAAGCTTGATTCGATTCTTGCCAACGCTTCAAACGAAGTGGACCGGGCAGAACGCACGCTTTCTCAGATGATGGACCACAATACCAGTCGTGGAATTGCGGCTGTGCGAAGGATTAAGCGTCAACACAACCTCGAAGGAGTTTATGGAACATTGGCGGAACTCTTCGAGGTGAATGACAGATATCGCACTGCGGTTGAAGTCACAGCTGGCCAGAGTCTGTTCCATTACGTCGTGGACACGGACGAGACTGCGACTAAGGTGCTTGAAATACTGCAACAAGAGAAAGCTGGACGCGTGACTTTTATGCCCCTAAACAGACTCAGGTCCAAGCCTGCCAATCTGCCTCGAGCGAGCGATACAATTCCAATGATCGACAAGTTACAATATGATTCTGCTTACGAAAAGGCTTTCAATCATGTGTTTGGCAAGACGATTATTTGCCCAAATCTTCAGGTTGCCTCACAATATGCTCGAAGCCATGGTGTCAATGCGATTACGCCCGAGGGTGATCGGTCTGATAAACGAGGTGCGCTTACTGGTGGTTTCCACGACTCTCGACAATCTCGACTTGACGCAGTGAAGAACCTGACGAAATGGCATGATGAATATGAGAACAAGAAGAACCGAGGGGCAGAGATTCGGAAGGAGCTGGAGAAGTTGGACCAGGTCATTACGAAGTCTGTCGGTGAACTACAGAAGCTGGAGCAACAAAGACATCAGGTACAGCATAGTAGTGGACCGCTCCGGCAAGAGCTCAGAAGCAAACGGGATCTTCTCCAGAAGAAGAACGACAGTCTCGACGCCAAGCGCAAGGCTCTCCGCAATATCGAGACCAATTTGGCCGCGTTGCACGATCAGGTGAATGCTTTCGAGGCGGAGCTGAAAACACCATTCCAGAAGGCGCTGAGCAATGAGGAGGAGGCACAGCTCGAGTCACTCAGTGTCGTTGCTCAGGATCTTCGGCGGCAATATCAGGAACTCTCTGCTCAGCGAAGCGAGTTGGAAGCTCGAAAGTCGATCCTAGAAGTTGAACTCCGGGAGAACTTGAACCCCCGCCTCGACCAGCTTGTCAGCCGCGATACTGATATAGCAGATGACGACGGCCAGGGCAATCTGAAGGAGACCGAGCGGGAGATGAAGCGGCTGCGCAAATCGTTGGAGAGTCTGAGCCAACGCCTTCAGAAGGTGGATGAGTCTATCGAGAAAGCAAACGCTCAAGCAAATGAGCTCGAGAAACAAAAGGCAGAAATCCGTCTTGAACTGGAAGAGCTGGCGAGATCCATTGAAAAGCACCAGCGTCGAATGGAAAAGAATATGCAGAAAAAGGCTGCCTTGACCAAGCAAGCAGCAGAATGTGCGGCAAATATCCGCGACCTGGGCGTGCTTCCAGACGAAGCGTTTACCAAGTACAAGCACACGGACTCGAACACCGTTGTTAAGAAGTTGCACAAGGTCAATGAGGCACTCAAGAAGTATTCACATGTCAACAAGAAAGCGTTCGAGCAGTACAACAGTTTCACCAAGCAGCGCGAAACCCTAACCAACCGGAGAGAGGAACTCGAAGCATCGCAGAAGTCAATTGAGGAACTCATCTCAGTCCTTGACCAGCGCAAGGACGAAGCCATTGAGCGTACGTTCAAGCAAGTCTCTCGTGAATTTGCCAACATCTTCGAGAAGCTTGTCCCCGCTGGCCGTGGGCGCTTGGTCATTCAGCGGAAGACCGACCGTGTTCTCAGACAAGAGGATGACATGGATTCCGACGACGAAAGAGCTCAGCAGAGTGTCGAAAATTACGTCGGCGTGGGCATTAGTGTGAGCTTCAACAGTAAGCATGATGAACAACAGCGGATTCAGCAACTTAGTGGTGGCCAAAAGAGTAAGGCTTTCCTCTCCGGGTGTTCCGTTCGACTTACTGATGATTTTGGATAGGTCTTTGCGCGCTTGCACTGGTCTTCGCAATCCAAGCCTGTGACCCGGCGCCGTTTTACCTGTTTGACGAGATCGATGCCAACCTCGACGCTCAGTACCGAACCGCCGTTGCTCAGATGCTCCAATCCATATCGGAATCTACCAACGGACAATTTATTTGCACCACCTTCCGTCCTGAAATGTTGCATGTGGCGGAGAAATGCTACGGAGTCAGCTTCCGACAGAAGGCTAGTACGATAGACGTTGTGTCTAGAGAAGAGGCGCTCAAGTTCGTCGAGGAGCAGAAGACTTAAGAATAGCGCGCGTGGACGGCGATCAATGACTGAACTTGTTTCCCGAGTTTTTTCTACTCACTTGCTGGATTGGACAGGATAGCAGGCGTACTATTGATAATATTTCTGCTATGGAGATCAGATTATATCCCTCTTTTCGTTTGCGGCATCGGGTTCCTTTGTTCGTCGGGTACCTGTTTATATGTACTCTAAATCTAACCTAGTCTTCTTCCTCTACTTTCAGCCTCGATATTTTATGAAGTCGACAGTCTATTCATTAGCATCGTGACCTCTAGATCGGAGATATGGCCCTTGTCTGGCTATATGCATAGAACTCCAAGTCCTAATTGGGAACCTCATCGCGAGGCGGTTCTTGCGTCCACTCGAAGAGGATGCTCTCCGGCACATCCTTGACAAGAACATGGATATGTTCCAGGCTTCTCACACTCTGCAGTGCGGTCCAATTCTTGAACCACAGCACATGATCCTTAGGGTCGGAATATCCCTCTCTCGCCAGTCGCGCCACAAACGTCCTTTGCACAAACTCCTCGATCAGCGCGCGCGACTCATCCGTCAAGTCTCCACCGTGTTCCTGGACAGGCACAGGGGTGCGCAGCCACACGCACAAGTGCGCAATACCCGGCGCAAGACCGTAGGGCCAGTCGTTGCGGAGGATCTTGTAGTCCGAGGGATCGGCAAAGGGGATCGGGTTGTTGTAAGGGAAGACCGGCTCGCTGTCCGCCACAGCGGTGCCGCTGGAGTCACTGGTGCCAGCAGGTTCCGGTAAATGCCAGCCCAGACGACGCTTGCAGATGAAATTTGTGATGGAGCCGTATTGGGATTTGGTGTCTCTAGACCAAGCGAGGTATCGGACCAGATCGGATGGTTTCCGCTTCAGAGCGCCGAGATCATTTCGTACTGTGTGCGGGGAAAGGTCGAGCCATCAATAGGTACTCGATGCGGAACTGGAAGTTGGAGAGGAGGAATGAGGGGGAGGGGAGGGGAACTTGATGGGTGTGGTTCCCATCACTCGTTGATCTATCTATCTAGTGCTAGGGTCTGGATGTCATACCGATGATATCTTTGAGGTTGTCCCAGTCGTGGGGAACAAATTGGTCGTCCGTCATCGCCAAGACCTCCCGGTCGGTGTCGGTGAGGTTGAAGGCTGGAAGTTCAGGTGTTGTATCCATTATCGTTTTAAGAGAGATCGTTTTTGAGATAAGAAAGACTTGATGCCGGATATCTTGTTCACGATGGGCAATTAGATCTGGCTCAGGATCACTCGCATGAGGAATCCGACGGCTTACCCCAGAAAAGGAAAACAAACCCCCAACGGGCCTCGGATTCCGCGCCTGGTGCTACAGCGGAATTGCAGGGGAATCTTTGAGCTGAGTTGTTGTCTATCGTGAGGTCCGAGATTGTTTTGTACAAATATTATGGTTGTACCCTGTATTCCTGCGTACAGACGATATCTACATACAACTTAAATCTTAAAAGGATACGTGGGTCAACAATGAGACGTTGAGGGGATGTCAGTTACCGCCAGACAGCGCCGAACGCCTCCACCCAAGCAGAGATAAAATAAAGAGCCCCGGCCGCCGAGCCATCGCCGTCGTGGATCTCTCTTTTTCCTTTCCTTGCCTCCAACCGCCCCTCTTCAGCTCTCTTTCCTCCTCTCCTTCTTTATCTCCACCATCTTTTTTCAACCGGAGGATCGTTCGAGATGAGGTATATACTCTTTGCTTATTTCTGTCCTTGTCATTTCCAATTCTGTGATCATCTAGCTAATGTTCCTCGTCACATGTCGCAGTGCCTTGTCATCTGAGAACATCAATGGGGTCTACATCTCCTCGGCCCTCCTCATCTTCGGCACTTTCATTGTGAAGAAGGAGTTTGTCCCATATGCAGTGGCTCTGGCTGCTATCCTGGCTGGATTGAAGCTGCTCACAGGCGGCAGCAGTACGTGCATCTATTTCCACGCAAAACATTTCAATGTATTGACAGACAGTCTTGCCTCGGCAGAGCCCAGAAAGGTTCTCAACCCTACCGAGTTCCAGGAATTTGTGCTCAAGGAGAAAACCGACGTCTCGCACAATGTTTGCATCTATCGCTTTGCCCTCCCCCGTCCCACCGATATCCTGGGTTTGCCCATCGGTCAACACATCTCCCTCGCTGCCACTATCGAGGGCCAGCCGAAAGAGGTCGTCCGCTCCTACACTCCCATATCTTCAGACAATGAGGCCGGTTACTTTGATTTGCTCGTGAAGGCCTATCCCCAGGGTAACATTTCCAAGTACTTGACCACCTTGAAGATTGGCGATACCATGAAAGTGCGGGGTCCCAAGGGTGCCATGGTCTACACTCCAAACATGTGCCGTCACATTGGTATGATTGCTGGTGGTACTGGTATTACCCCCATGCTGCAGATCATCAAAGCCGTTATTCGCAACCGCCCCCGCAATGGCGGCAACGACACCACCAAGTTGGATCTGATCTTCGCCAATGTCAACCCAGACGACATTCTGCTCAAGGAGGAATTAGACAAGCTGGCTGCTGAGGACCCGGACTTCAACATCTACTATGTTCTGAACAACCCTCCTCAAGGCTGGACCGGTGGCGTTGGATTTGTTACCCCCGAGATGATTAAGGTTCGCATCATTCCTCCACATGTTGACTTGATCGGTTCTCTTGCTGATACCCGTATCTTTCACAGGAACGCCTCCCTGCCCCTGCCAGCGACGTCAAGATTCTGCTCTGCGGTCCCCCTCCTATGATCAGCGCGATGAAGAAGGCTACCGAGTCGCTCGGTTACACCAAGGCTCGCCCTGTCAGCAAGCTTGAGGACCAAGTCTTCTGCTTTTAGATTACGAAAAGCGATGCGTCTTGATATCCATACTTGTCTTTGGAACCTGGTCTTATTTTCACGCTTTGCATTCTGAGAGCAGATGTCTTGGTCAGGTGTCCGCTCTGCTTATAGTATATGTCTGTGAAACTCTTCGATAGAGCAGTCCGGCGGGGCTCTATGTCTTGTTTAATGACATTTGAGTGCGGACTACGACCAGTCTTACAGGAAAACACCATAAGTCAGCGATTAGATCAATAACATTGCGCGGCCCATAATGAGAGCCGCGGCGCAGTTGTATTAGCATGAACTACGATTACGATGTATATCTAGGTACTAATATTTGTCCATATCGTTTGCTGCACAGCTGGGACCATTCTCGTCTTCTCAAGATCAATGCACCTTCAGCATTTCATCCACCATGTCCAAGAATTTCTGTCGGTATTCGTCTGCCGTCGTTGTGATCGTCATTGGCCCCTGGCGCCCGATAACATTAAATGTCTGCACCACTCCGGTCATAGCCTGCGCATGCAGCTTGTGTTTTGCCCAGAAGAAATCCAAGATTACCGCACGGTACTTCCACTTCCCATCAAGAGACTGGAATCCAACGCGCCATGGATTTTTCTTTCCCACCACGCCGGGATTGGAGGACGCAGGATAACGGATCAGAAAGAGTGAGTAGTCAACAGCATTTGCTGACTGAAGGAAGCGAGTGTCGGCTTCGAGTACCTTTCGAAACCTTTCATAATCCGACTGCCGCATGGGTATCTTATCCTCAAACTTATCGGCCAGCCTATTCAGGGTCTCTTCGCTGACCAGCGGATCTGGTAGTAAGTCCCGCTCCGGGTAGAAGTAGTCGATTGGTTTCAAATCATACGTCTCCCAGTCGTCCTTGGCAGAGTCCTCGTCCTTCCCGGAAAGCATATTCTCCATGATGATATGATGGGCCGGCGTGGTCTTCAAAATACTTCCGATGGTTCTGTACGGTGCATACACATAATCTGTGATCCAGACCAGGATTGAGTCTGCATGAGTGCTCATATACTCGTAGTACGGTTCCAGGAGGTCTTCCCTGAAGAAGGAGTGTTCGAAGTGTCGCGGGAGACTCTTGACGAGAAACTTGTTGTTGGATGTGGAAAAGAATGTCTACACTAAGTTAGATTCGAGAACCAATCACCCGTATGCTGATTCCTAGTCAACATACTGATCCGGACAACCCTAAATCTCCCATCGGCTTCAATGGTAGGGTCTTGTTCTCGCCGCGGAAACATGCTTTGTACTCCTCCTCGTCGATTTCCCATACATCATTGCGAAGCTTGCGGAACAGTTCGTCGCGGTACCTGATGAGTCTGATATAGAAGATACTGAAGAATGCCAGGATACGTCCAAGCAGTGACTTGCGAAACGCTTTCGGGTCATGAAAAAGCGCAAGCTGGATGGATTTGGCCAGAGCCGAGTGACGACGACTTCCAGTCATGGTTCAAAAGCTGTTTACTTAATCGCATAATCAGCCAGGGCTGCATTGTGAGTGACATATTTTAAGCGTCGAGAAGATTGCTCTTGTACCTCTGGTACAATATCGGGAACAGGTTGTCGAAGTCTGGTGACGTCAGTAGCGATGCCATATTTGCGAGTAGGGCTCAGATCGCCCACGTGATGCCTGAGAGGTGACTTGAGTCACCGCCTTGGGCAGAAGCTGAATTGCCGCTTTGAGTCAACGAAAGGAAAAAGTTGTTTCCCCTCGCGAGGCTTAAGATTCCCCTCCGTCTATGGGTCGTTATCTGCTTAGCGGGGCCCGGCGATTTTCAAGCGACATTTTTCTGACTGCTCGATCCTACAGTCCACTGCAAAGTCGCTTTCCTTCCTACTTTCGTGCCTCTACTGATCTTCAATTTAATACTCCACGTCCGTCCCTCTACTCTCGAGCCTTCGGTACCTCCGCTTCGCTGCACGCGCTCTCCGGGAAGCCCTCGAAATTAGTCGCAGCTATGGCATCTGCCGCTGACCTTCCTGTCGCCGTTGAGGGGCTGACCCTCCATTCTACCGCTGAGACCTCCAAGTTCCCTAACTGCTACCCCTCGTTAAACCCTGTCGACCTTTACAGAGCGCACATTGCGGAGAAGCTGGGTGCCGCAGCTGGCATCGAGCCCGAGAAGCTTTACCCCAAGCTGCAATGGACCAATACACTGGACAAGGGTGACTTGCTTCTGCCGGTACGAACTATGCGTGATCCACCAAGCTAGAGACAAGGGACCAGCGAAGGTTAACATAGGTCAAATGCCCTAGGTTCCCTCCTTACAAATCAAGAAGAACCCTCAAGAACTGTGCAAGGAGCTTGCAGAGAAGTTCCCCGAGTCCGATCTGGTTGCGACTCCTGTCCCCTTTGGCGTTCATCTGCAGTTTTTCTTCAAGCCCGAACCTCTCACCAAGACCGTCATTTCCCGTATTCTGAAGGAGAAGGCTACATTCGGTACCAATGGTAACCAGGGGTTGCGAGACCCCTCGGATCCTTCCAAGGGGAAGAAGAGAATCATTGTCGAGTTCTCATCACCTAACATCGCCAAGCCATTCCATGCTGGTCACCTTCGGAGTACCATCATCGGAGGTTTCCTGGCGAATCTCTACACTGTTATGGGTTGGGACGTCATCAAGATGAACTACCTCGGTGATTGGGGAAAGCAATACGGTCTCCTTGCCAATGGTTTCAAGCGCTTTGGTAATGAGGAGGAGTTGCTCAAGAACCCTATTAACCACTTGTTCGATGTCTACGTCAAGATCAACCAGATTGTCGCCGAGCAGGAGGGTCCTATCAAGGAGTTGAAGGAGCAGATCAAGGCCAAGAAGGAGAAGAACGAGGATGTATCTGAGCTTGAAGCCGAGCTTGCCAAGCTCGTTGATGTTAGCGAGGACGAAAAGGCTCGTCGTTACTTCAAAAGCATGGAGGATGGAGACCAGGAAGCTCTTGCCCTCTGGCGACGATTCCGCGATCTCAGTATCGAGAAGTACAAGCAGACCTATGCTCGTCTCAACATTGACTTTGATGTCTACTCTGGGGAGTCTCAGATCAAAAACGAAAGCATGACCGCCGCCTACGAGGCCATGGAAAAGGCTGGAATTTCTGAGAAGTCCGAGGGCGCTGTTATCGTCGACTTCACCAAGCACGGCGCTAAGAAGCTCGGAAAGGCCATCATTGTCCGCAAGGATGGCACTCCTCTGTATCTGACCCGTGATATTGGAGCTATCATGGAGCGTGATGAGGCCTACCACTTCGATAAGATGATCTACGTGGTCGCCGCACAGCAGGATCTGCACTTGGCTCAGCTCTTCAAGATCACAGAGCTGATGGGCCACAAGGATTTGGCCAGCCGCTGCCAGCACATCAACTTCGGTATGGTCCGTGGTATGAGCACCCGTAAGGGTACTGTCAAGTTCCTGGATGACATCCTGAGGGATGTTGCGGACAAGATGCACGAAGTCATGAAGGGCAATGCCGAGAAGTACGCGCAGGTCGAGAACCCCGAAGAGACGGCGGATATTCTGGGATTGACCTCGGTCATGGTACAGGACATGACCGGAAAACGGTGCGTATAATCCGCTCCTAGGCCCTGGGTTGAGCCCACGACACTAACAGACTGCAGTATCAACGGTTATGACTTCAACCTCGATGCGATGACCTCATTCGAGGGTGACACCGGTCCTTACCTGCAGTACGCACATGCCCGTCTCTGCTCCATTGTCCGCAAGTCGGGCCTGAATGTTGAAGAGCTGGACTCTGCCAACCTTGACCTTCTGACGGAGCCCCATGCCGTTGACCTCGTCCGTCTGCTGGCGACCTGGCCAGATGTGCTGCTGAACACTACCAAGACGCTTGAGCCAACCACCATCATCACCTACCTGTTCCGTATGACACACATTCTCAGCTCCAGCTACGACGTGCTCAAGGTCGTGGGAAGCGAGCCCGAGCTCAAGAAGGCCCGTATGGCACTGTACGAGGCCGCCCGGCAAGTATTGCACAACGGCATGAGGGTGCTGGGTCTCAGCCCTGTTGAACGGTACGTGATCACTCTGAATCTAGGAACAGGTCTTGGACTAACATTTCACCCTTTTTTCTAGCATGTAAATGGCGCAATGAAAGAGAATATAATTATTAGAATGAAGACTTTTATCAATGGATACCAAATAAGTTCTCGCTGTACACGTCAGGCGTCGCATCTCACATAAGCCTGCAACCAGATAGTTATACCAACGCGGTGTTAAGAAAGCCGAGGATTTGGTTCAACACAATAGATTGGGAGGCCAAGACTTTCCAAAGGCTTCGAACAATAATTTAGTAACCTAGATGAACAAAGTTTAGCAGAGCAACGGGCAAGACAACCGAAAGCAACCATACATAGCGCTGTCCATTTCACTGGAGGCAATAGCAAAAGCCAACGTCAGTTCGGGATTCAAAATTGACTCTGTTTTAGAACGGTGACCAACAGACTGCAACGTTACATGCCGCTTACTGCATGCACAATGCCCACGGTGGGGGCAATATATGCCTAACGGTCATTAAATCTGCACAGCTAGCACTGCGGCTGAGGTCGAGACTACTGTATTATCCACCCCAAGCGTCATAATTAGCCGCCCCGTTAGTCGCTCAGCTGCTAAGTAGTGGCATCTTTTTCCATGTTGTGGTAGTCCCCGAATGTACTTTTGTGTGCCAGCAGCGCAAGGTACATACATGCTGTAACACCATCACATCGAAGCTCGGCGTGGCGAGGGATATCGGAAGAGATCAGTGAACGAATTTTCAGTCCGAGATATTGGGGTTATCAGATTTGGGAGAAATGAATCATAGGCCGATAGATCCCATGGATCACAAGGTGGTAGACGGCGACTGGCCCTGGAATGGATACCTGAGGCTCCGACGGGGTCTCGGGGTCTTCGGGGGTGGACCATGGATGTTCTTCTAGTATTCCAGGATAGGGTGTGGTAGTATCAATCTGCGGATTCAGCTGCATGTAATCTAATCGACCGTGGCTGCGAACCATTGATCTCCATCACACATCGATCCTTCTTTTATAAACGTTTGAGAATCATTTAAAATGTCATATCTCCCTCCGACTGTTTTCCTGGCTCCGTCTGTCCTCTCCTCAGCTTATACTTCCAACTCCGAAGTCACCTGACTCCGTTGCTGTTCACCATGGGCACAGATATGATCAGTCCTGACCTGGAGAGAAATGATAGAGATCAGTTTCTGGTCAATCATACAGTCCACAGCTTCGCCTGGAATGACTTGACGGTCACCGTCAAGGACCGCCGGACGAAGAAGCCGCTCAATCTGATTGAGGGCATCACCGGGAGTATCCAACAGGGTTCGTTATTTCTGAAGCACTGCTGCTACTGATGCTCATGGTACTGACATTTGCCAAAAGGTGAATTGGTGGCTTTGATGGGCCCCTCGGGATGCGGCAAGACGACATTGCTCAATGTGCTCGCGCGCCGGGCAGCTACATCGGGTGCGAAGACCGTGGGGGAATGCCACGTCAATGGAGGGGGGCTCGACAATGCCACCTTTGGCCGGATCACTTCCTATGTGGAGCAGGAGGACGCTCTGATCGGCTCGTTGACGGTGCAGGAGACGTTGAAGTTTGCGGCGGATCTTTCGCTGCCAAGGTATGCTTCCAATCATTGTTCTCTGTGCTACAAGGCTAACAGACAGGGCCTGCAGCTCTGTTTCAAAAGCGCAGCGGCGTGACCGTATCCAGACTCTATTGGAGTCATTTGGTATTCTAAATCAGGCTGCGACGCTGGTTGGAACTCCAATCCGAAAGGGAATCAGCGGAGGCCAGAAACGGCGAGTAAGCGTCGCAAGCCAACTGATCACCTGTCCGAAGATTCTATTTCTGGATGAACCGACTAGCGGTTTGGACTCGACGGCGAGTTACGAGGTGATTTCTTATGTCAAGGAATTGGCGGTAGCCAGCAATGTAAGACGAATACTGTTACTGGATGTCGGAGACAAGACTGACGCAGGTCACGCAGCTCATCGTCATCGCAAGCATCCATCAGCCGTCGACGACCACATTCCAACTTTTCGACAAGTTACTTCTTCTGTCCAAAGGCAAGACCTGCTATTTCGGTCCCGTCCCTCACATATCGACCTATTTCAACAGCATCGGCCATCCCATCCCGTTGAACACGAATCCCGCAGAGTTCATTCTCGACATCGTTAGCTCCGATTTCTCCGATGCCAAAGAAGGCAATGCCACGGAGCGAGTGCAGCACATCCAGGATTCCTGGTTGCAGTCCGCTGAGCGGAGGGCCATGGACAACCACATCTCGCAGTTGACTGAGCACCCCAAACATGACGGGAAGAAGATCGCAATGGGACAGCTCTCTCGCCCGAACGCTGCGAGCATCACCTGGTCACTTTTGCACCGCTCCTTCATCAAGAGCTACCGCGACGTTGTGGCGTATGGCATCCGCATCGTC